CAAGAGAAAATCTCCCTTGGATTTGTCAACTAAAAGCTTAGCTACTCATAATAAAAACAAAACCCAACACAAAGTGAAAATACATGGTATATAAATGGAGCATGGACTTGTATTAATGCAAGAAAAGAGCTAAACTACAAGAGAAATGGCATTCATAGTCAAAATACAAAGATTGGAAACAAATACCCAAATGTAAAACTTGAAATGCTAGAAAACCCTAGCTATGCTTGCATACAACTTGAATGGATGAGTTTAAAGTGAAAGAGGGAAGGATTACAAGTAATTTAAAACTTACAACACTGAAAATGGTGAGGAAATATGAAAAACCTAGCTTTCTCTCTCTAACTTCATCTTCTTTCTTGAGCTTCTCTCCCTAAAACTGTGTTTAGCTGAATTATTTTGTAGAGAGCCCTCCAATTCATCCACAAACCTCCCCCAGGTCTGTTTGACTGACTTCCTATCATTGGAAGGTCTTCAGGGATTGCCATAAAAACCACAGGCCCATATTCCCCTTCTATGCTTCCCCCCAATCTCTTTCTTTCTCTCTCTTCCTCTTCCATACATTTTTCTTCCAAAGTCATATTTTAGGTGTAAGAAAGCATGCTTGTATGTAGAATGTGTCAAGGCATGTGTGGGCGATGTAGAGGTGGGCCCACGAAGTAGTTGGAGTTAAGATTGCAGCTTTCTTACATTTCTGGGCAAAACCTATCGGTAAAACGATGACAAAACCAACCTGTAGGTTTTTTCCAGTAGGTAAAATCTATTGGTATGTTTTGGTAGGGGCAGCGGTAGAAGAATTCTAGTGCACTAAACCTATTGATAGGTTTTGATGAACATCTATTGGTAGATTTTCACCTGTTTTTGTTTTTTTCTTGATTTCTTGACATCCTGAGCCATCCATTAAGCCTCCCCTCCTTCTCCATTGTCTTTAAGCACTTGATGGAAGGCTTAATCCATGCCATTCCTACTCTTTACCTACAATCACATAAAAACTCCATTAATTGTTAGATTAACGCAATTTTCCCCATTTTCTCCACAAAAGCAAGTATAAAAATGGGTGCAAAGAGATAGATGATGTCCAATATTTTATACTTATCAATGTCGTGTCTGTTGGATACCTGTTGGTGAAAGCCCATAAATACTCACCTCAAGAAAGACTCGAGATTTTGTAAAATGGTCATTGGATGTTCAATATCAATTACGGGGGTTTGGAGTGCCCAGATGCATACGCATGACATTGCATGTGGTATGGGAGTCGATGGAGATCTCGGGTTGCATTGCATGTGTGAGCATCATTTGATGAATGTCATGGCATTATGAAATCCATTATGAGTTGCATATTCTTGAATGGACGATAATTAATTGTTAAATGGTACGTGAACATTTCATATGCATCTGGGTTGGAGAGTAGCCTCTTTAGAAGACACCCTATTGAGTGTGTGGCTCACCCTTTATGGGAATAACATTTCAGGTGTGGGACAAACACCGGTGGACGGCCCTCGCTGGGGCCCTCATTTATGAAGAAGATGAGATGTGACTTTAAATTACATTTTGTAAATCAATTGTGTAATTCATTTTGAACTTGTAAAATTGTGTAAGAGTTTTGTAATGGACTCTTATACACTATAAATTGTGTTAATGAATGTATGGATATGTTTGGGAAGAGATTGGATGGCTAAAAGTTGAAGATTGAAAAGAATTGAAGAAAATCTAAGCCTAAGTACTGGTACCTAAGTGATTAAGTACCAGTACCATGCTGTTAGATGGTCTAGGTATCGATACCTTGACTTACGGGTGCCAATGCTTGGATTCCTGTGGGCTCAAGTACCAGTACCTAGGCACCATGTACCGATACCTCAATGGACATTGGGCTCAAGTACCAATACTAGGACATATAGGTACCAGTACGTAGCAAATAGTGGGCTCAGGTACTGATACCTAGGTGATTAAGTACTGGTACCTAGCAAATAGGAAAACCTGGCAGACAGAAGGTTTAGGTAATGGTACCGGTACCTCTTCCAAAAAATTTCCAAATTTAAATATAATTCTACCAAGTATTCAGATCTTGAGCCCTCTTTGTTGAGATGATGTAATTGGTCAAATATTAAGTTATAATTAATGGGGATGGACCTTGAATTGGTCGGGTGGTTAATATGTGCACAAGTTATGCATTGGGAGTGCTTCGATACGAGGGAGACTCTGCCCAAACTTCAAGTGGGTTACGATTCTGGTGAAGGAGATGTGATGGCATGGTAACGAGTTATACGACATTCACAGGTATTTTCGTGGGTTAATGGATGATCAACGGATTGAAAAATGACCCCGGATTTGGGGGCGCCACAGATAGACAAAACTTGAATGAGAATGTAATCAATTCATCATTACTTCAAACTTATACTTCAAAAAAAAAAGAGAGATAACAAACAAAAAATCCCATTACTAATTAATAACAAACAAACAATCCTATTAGTAATTAAGAAAATAACAAATACCCAAAAAAGAATTAAACATTATTCGCAGCAAGGACTCGTAGTACAAACCCTTTATGATCCCCTATTTAACCAAAGCTAGAAGCCCACCAAGAGTTATGGCACCCAAATTTTTAACCTCAAAATATTAGCAAGCAAAAACAAAAATATCAAGATCTTTAACCTGATTAAGGATTAGTAGGGGTAGAGACAAAGGACATGGACATTATAAGATCACTACTAATCAAGACACTACAGAAACATTAAATCCCAAATATGGTGACAAAATAGAAACACAACTTGGAAATACAAATAGAGAGGCTTCCATGGGTTTTGACAGTTCTAAAGTTAAAAATGTGTCAGGTAAATTTTTTGGATGCAGGAAAACCCAACTTTGTCACCAATTATTTGGTCAAGAGGTGCATCTATTGTCAAAACGAATCCAAATGCCTAAAATTAAAACCATCTAAAAAAATTAATCACCAAAACCCAATATTATAAAAATGGCATCCACTTTGTAATGAAGTCAACATCCAATTTCAAACAACTAAAAAGCACTATCCAATTTCATAAAAAAATACAAATAGTGAAATCAAAAACCAATTGCAATACCACTAATAACTATAACATTCAATAGAAACCCTGCAATCATATGAAAAATTCCAATTTGGAAAGTGACACTAGTGTGTGTGGGATAGAATGGTGTGTGTGTGTGTGTATGTGTGGTGTGTGTATGTGTGTGTGTTTGCCTGTGTGCGAGAGAGATTAGAGGAGACGATGGAATTTTTCCTATGGCAACATTTTGTCAAACACCACATGCCTGTGCCTGAAATTTTGTCGAATCTCTAGCAATTTTCTTGGCTTTATCAATTCTTCAAAAAAATTCTCACAATTTTGNGTTTGCCTGTGTGCAAGAGAGATTAGAGGAGACGATGGAATTTTTCCTATGGCAACATTTTGTCAAACACCANATGTGTGTGTGTTTGCCTGTGTGCGAGAGAGATTAGAGGAGACGATGGAATTTTTCCTATGGCAACATTTTGTCAAACACCACATGCCTGTGCCTGAAATTTTGTCGAATCTCTAGCAATTTTCTTGGCTTTATCAATTCTTCAAAAAAATTCTCACAATTTTGGTGTTTCTCTCTCAAATCAAACAAAGATTTTTGAAGAAAATCCTAACCCAATAACCCTTTTCCACAAAAATATACAAATGCAAAAAAACTAACTTTTTTTTCAATCCGAACTCGTTGTTGTGTGTGTGGGTTTTCTATTGTGTGTGTCGATGTGTGTGTGTGTGTGTGTGGGTTCGACAGTGTGTATGGGTTCGAATGTGTGTGTGTTGGGTGAGCCCTCATCACTGGTGGTGAGAAGTCACTGGCGAGAGAGTCTGTCGTAGAGAGAGAGAGAGTAGGAGGAGATAGATTGACTTTTTTGGGCCTATTTGTGTTTGTGGGTTTGGTGGATTCGTGTCCAAGGTTAGGGGAAAATAGTCTAAAGAACCACCAAACCCAATATTTGTGTTAAAAATTCAATTATGGGTTCCCAAACCCAGCCTACAACTGGACCAGATACTAACCTATGATCATGAGTTTCGTCAAACCTAAGGGGTGGGTTTGGGAAGTTGGGTTTAAGAGATTAGAGATATAAAAGACAACGTATCCCTTAACATGGTTATGAATTGAATTGATCAAGGAGCAAAATAGTAATTTAAAGGATAAACGGTTGTTAATAATTATGATATATCCTTTAGTCCTATATTTGTATGTGTTGTATATCAACACATAAGTATGAACTGGATTCAATCTTGAATCACATCTTTTTAAAGAGAGGATTGAATTTAAAAGGATTTGAAAAAACCAATTCAAACTCTCTAAAAATCCATTCAAACAAGCCTTTTGGGATTTTGTGTAGTGGGTTTTAATTATTTTGGGTGGGATTTGGGTAGTGAGTAAGATGTATTGTGACTCATTGGATTAGATTAGATGGATTTAAATGAGTTTTGAGCCATATACTTAAATTTCAATAAAATCCTAATCGTTATTCCAGTTTTCTAAATTGGGATAGCTAATTTTAATTTGAGAAGNAGATTAGATGAATTTAAATGAGTTTTGAGCCATATACTTAAATTTCAATAAAATCCTAATCGTTATTCCAGTTTTCTAAATTTGGATAGCTAGTTTTAATTTGAGAAGTTTGAAATGAGTTCTCCCTTATTAGTATAAATTTTTGAAATTATATAACTAAATAAATTTTATTTTTCAAAAAATATTTAACCAAATAAAATTTTCCATACAAAAATATCAAAATTAAGTTTTCTAATTTTTTTTTCAAAAACTTGTTTTCCAACGGTGTTTTCTAAGATTCAATCCAAGCACGCGCCTAGGACTCTAGTGGATCGCAGGGTGCGAGGCTTGTACATCTAAATTATATTGCTCAAATTCGCCAAGCAAAAGACTGCCGACCTGAACTATGAGATTGGTATTCCGTGGCGTGCTACTGTTGATCGCATCGTTCGACCTTGTTCTCGCTTATGCCTCTGGTACATCTCTCCTTCTTTCTCAATTTCTCTATCTTGCAATTAGGGTTTGTTATGTCCAAATTTCTAATGATTTACCATCCTCCTTTTCAAGATATTGAATATGTTACTCTGGATTTGTCTAAACCCTAGAATCGAAAAATTAATGTTTTTTCTGCCATATAGCTAGCACTTAGCATTGCATAGCTAGCATTTCCTTCGGACAATACTAGATTACTTGCTTCTTTCCTGGTCGGTATCACCTCACTTTGTGCATGGGTATTAGATTCAAGCAGATGATGTCTCTTGTTGGGAATAGCCTTTACTGCGTGCATCAACAAAGAACCCATCGAAGAAAAAAAAACCAATTCAACAAAGAAACTTTTAGGCTCTTCAAAGGTATCTAATTTCAGCTCATCATTCAATTGAATTGGAGCTTGCAGTTGTGGAGGAACTTCTTTGGACAGTTTGTTCAACTATTTGGTGACGATCGATTGGTGAAGAAGACGATTCAAAATTTACTTTGGTTCTTATTTGGGAGCTTAACTACCTTCATGTGTTTTATCCATTGATGATTAGAGCGAACCTATTGATGCGTGGAGTGAATCGAGTTTAGCATCAAGTGTGACAAGTAATTTGGAATTGGTAACCCTATTGATTGGAAGAGAGTTTTATGAAATTTTTGAAAATTTGGGGATCAATTTGTAATTTTACAAAATTTTGGGACCAAACTATAATTTATGAAAATTTTGAGGGCAAAAGTGTAATTTCAAAAACTCAAGGGGATAGATATGTAATTTGCAAAGGCTTGAGGATGTTTGTGTAATTTCGTGGTATTGGGTTTTTTGTTATGGGTTTTGTGTTAGGGGGGGGCGGTGGTGGGTATTTTTTTTGGTTGGACTTGTTTTGCCAGGTTTTTTGAAAGGAGCTGGATTTTTTTTTATAGGTTGTAGTGGGCTGACTGTTTTAACTTATGGGTTGATCCAACTTCAATAACACACCAAGGGTCTTCTTCTGCACGAGTAAGGCTTATGAAACAGTACCCTAGTCTCCAAAAATTGACTACTGATGAACAGCGGCTGCAAGGATTGGTTTATGCCAGAGAAGTTGGCAGCGGCAAAGTGATAACGATGGCTACCGCAGGTTGTGGTCAGCGACCACTATTGAACTATAGAATTTGTTCTCCAAGAGGCAAACAACTATGAAGGGACAAAGAAAAGGTGAGACGTAGCAAGAGATTGGTGGATCAGAGTTTGGCAGCACCCATGTCAGATTGTGTTCAGGCTGGTGCAACGTGAATCGCATTGAGGCTCTAATATCAAATTGATATAGAATGGGAAGGAATAGAAATCAAAGAGTAGAAAGAGAGAAGAAAGACTAGGGGTGGAAGGAATTTACTTTATCCTCACAAGGCATCGGTTAAAAAACACACAAAATTCTCCACAGAGAAACTAATTTTTATTATATCTCTCATAAAAATAGTGGGGATTACATCGATTTTTATAGGACAAGTCTCATACCAAAATAAAAACTATTCTCTTATTAAAATTCTAAAATAGTTTCATAACCAAACTCTCAAATCTCTATCCTACTAAAGTTTTATAATAATTTTCTAGTTAAACTCTAATTAATACTTCTACTCAAACAAATATTTCCTAACTAATAAAATAATACTAACAGAAATAATAAAATTCAACTCTTTAATTAAAGCTCACCCAATCCCTTTTCGATCTCAATCACTAACTAACCACGACCTCGGTCCCAACCAAGCCTTTGATTACCGATCCTTTTTTGATGATTTGAATAGTGAACAATCAAATAATCAAACATATGGTGCAAGTGTGTGCTAAATTGCAAGTGTATTGGCAAATTAAAGCAAATAAAGAACGCAATTAATTTGTTGACGTGAAAGCACTTTTCAAAAAAAAAAAAAACGTGAGAAACCACTTGGGTTCACTAAAATTAATCCACAAACTAATATCAATTTACAAGTATTTAAGACTTATAACTCAATCAATACTATGGTGAAATACTCTTTTCCTTCAATAGACCTCTCTTTCTTGTTCTCCCACCAAAGTTATGTGTTGCTTTACTTGAATGCCTCCGCTGCAATGCATTGTTTATATTCTTCAAGCGACCTTCTTGCCTAGATCCTCGGATGCACACTCCTTCAATTGGTTTTGTAACTCCAAACAAGAACCTCTAAGTTGAATGAAGAATCAAGATGGATAGGCCTTTGGTCTCTTAGGGATCTAGGGTTCTTGTGATCTCTTAAAGTTTGAGAGGTTGAAAATAAGCTTACAAAAGAGATTACCTAGCTCTAGAAGGCTTCCCTTATTTATAGGCGCGAAATTAAGTCATGTTTGGTGACTAAGTAAATAAAAATTCGTGAACAACCGCTTGAGTAGTGGAAGAACAGTGAGCTAGGAAGCACAGACACTTCATTTTGGATAGAGTGTCGGTGTTGGACATGTCTGGGACATGGATACGCTTTGGACATACTCGAACACGTTAAAATGAGTGTTCAATTTTTTATTGTTAAATTTTTTTAGGACACGTNTAAAAATTCGTGAACAACCGCTTGAGTAGTGGAAGAACAGTGAGCTAGGAAGCACAGACATTTCATTTTGGGTAGAGTGTTGGTGTTGGACATGTCTGGGACATGGATACGCTTTGGACATACTCGAACACGTTAAAATGAGTGTTCAATTTTTTATTGTTAAATTTTTTTAGGACACGTAGGGGACAGGACACGCGGTTGACATGCCGGGTAGACGTTTTGAGATTTATTTTTAATTTGTTGAGAACTTTTCAGATAATTTTATAATTAAGAGTTATTTTTGTAATTTTAAAGGGATATGAGTTACAATCAAATATAAAAGACGTTCTAATTATTAGTCATTACATTGAATANCGGTTGACATGCCGGGTAGACGTTTTGAGATTTATTTTTAATTTGTTGAGAACTTTTTAGATAATTTTATAATGAAGAGTTATTTTTGTAATTTTAAAGGGATATGAGTTACAATCAAATATAAAAGACGTTCTAATTATTAGTCATTACATTGAATATAGGACATGAATTTAACATAATTTTGGATTCGAATACAAACTTATTATGAAGCACGGACACACTCGAGAAGGTGACGTATCCGTGTCGAACACGTGTTGGACACTTCTTTCGTGACGTGTTCGACACTTCTTTAGAACGTGTCTACTACTAAATAATAGGTAGATGTTGAAATGTGATTAACCAAGTTTACAATTTTGAGAACATATAATTACTAACACTAGACAAGTTAAAGTTGTACTCCAAATATAATAATAAAAATATAAGATACATAAAAATTTAAAAAAAAAAGATTTGAGAAAATGAAAGTAATTATTTAAATTATATATTAGATACACATTGTCTACAAAAAAAAAAAATTGATGATTATTGACTATAATGAAGATGCTTTAGTCTAAAAAATCACACAAATGACTAGACATTAGATTTACTTATCATAAAATACTGAATTTTTTATGAATTATATATCATTATCACTATATTTACAATAAATTATAAAATGTTATATATAAAATATAATTTTTTAATAGCGTATCCCAACGTGTCGGTGTCGTATTTCTTTGAGAAATATCGTTTTGGCGTGTCCGTGATGTGTTGTATTCATGTCTAGTGTCTGTGTCCGTGTCCGTGTCCATGCTTCTTTGCAAACTTATATATAAATGGAATAAACTTTTAAGATGAAAGTAATGTGAGAAAAAATGAGATTATAAAATTAGGGCTATTAAAATATTATAATGATAATATTTTTATTTTATCACTTGATTATATATATACACATTATTTAACGTATAGCCAACGTGTCTCTATCTTATTAAAAAAATTTTGTGTCAGCGTATTCGTGTCGTGTCGTATTCGTCTCTCGTATTTGTGTCCATGCTTCTTAGGCAGTGAGGAGTAGTTGTCACTAGAATGAAAAAAAAAAACCTCCAAACCTGGTAGGTAAAGAGCGCTTAACTTGTCCGTAGACCACTTCAGCAGCCTAAGAGCGGCTAGACCCAATTGCCTTCTTTGATTTTATCCCCAAGTCTTTAGAAATCGCTCTAGCCAAAGGCAAGTGAGCAGAGCGTGATCCCTACTAGTTTTAAAGACGAAAACAAAGAAAAAACTTGTCCTTTTGCGTACTAAAGGGTATTGCTTAGATAGGGTTCGGTAAATAACTCAATCTATCTTTTCAAAACACCTTTAAGGTTTATNTTTTATCCCTAAGTCTTTAGAAATCGCTCTAGCCAAAGGCAAGTGAGCAGAGCGTGATCCCTACTAGTTTTAAAGACAAAAACAAAGAAAAAACTTGTCCTTTTGCGTACTAAAGGGTATTGCTTAGATAGGGTTCGGTAAATAACTCAATCTATCTTTTCAAAACACCTTTAAGGTTTATAATAATATTTTAAATAAGAAACCCTTAGAGTCATTTCAAGATATCCCAATTTCATTTTCTTAACCATAAGCATCCAAAGTCTAAAATTAAATCAATGGATCTAAGTCTCTAAGGTCATTACCTTTGTCCTAAACTTAAAGGTGCATTGGAGTGCTATTGATATGACATTGTAGCTTGATCATCTTCCCTTCTTTGCCGTTTGCGGCTCTTGATCTTTCAACCTTGATGACGATTGAGATTATATATGACTTCATGAAATTAGCCAATTACAAACATAATCTTAACATCCCTTTATTTCTCTCCCACCAGACCAATGTNTATGAAATTAGATTGAGATTATATATGACTTCATGAAATTAGCCAATTACAAACATGATCTTAACATCCCTTTATTTCTCTCCCACCAGACCAATGTCTCCGTTTGAAACCCACNGATTGAGATTATATATGACTTCATGAAATTAGCCAATTACAAACATAATCTTAACATCCCTTTATTTCTCTCCCACCAGACCAATGTCTCCGTTTGAAACCCACTAAAGCATCAATTCCGGATAGGGACCAACGCACCCTAAGTGGTCAATACTCAAAAGACTCATCGTCTCAACCTTTTTCTGTTGGTAAAGCAAATCCATGCCATGAAAGATAAAAACTGTGGTTAACACCCCAACATCACTGGCACTCTTCACCAACAATAAACACTCATTGTGGAATCCTCCATCACCAACATTTTGCAATGAAAATAGTTTTGATTGTGGATTTGATTCATGAATTTGAACGATTTAGTGTGATTGGAGTGGTTTTGTGTGTCGTTGGATTGGTTTTGTGTGATGGGTTCTTTGAATATGGGGTTTTTCGATGGCCGTGGTATTGTGCGAATATAGGTTCATTTGGGGTGGTGTGCGGCGAAGTGTTCTGCGTGATGGATTGAGATTTACTTGAAAATGAGATTTCTAGAGACAGCGGGTTTTGTGCAACTATGGGTTCGGTGGTGGTATGCGCTGATGGTTTTGTGATGAGTTTTGTTAAAATGGAGTTTGCTGGCGGGGATCAGTCCTGAAAATTGTGACCAATCTACTTCTCACGTTCAACACTGACCCTTTAATCCTCACCTTCCCCGGCTTACCAATTTTTGTCCTTTTTTCTCATGCAGATCAGCAATACTTCTACTACTTAACAAAAAACCCATCAATGTTTACTAGGATTATTCCTATAAGTTTCCAATGCTTGTGACTATTGCATTTTGATTTTGAGGTGGTACTATCAAGATATGGTTGCGTTTGTTATGGTTGTTACATTGGTGCCATGGTTGTGGAGATTTGTTGGTGGTGGTGCTTTTGTGTATGTGTGTGAGTGGTCTCTGTCTACCCACCGGTGTTATTGGTTTAAGGCAGATAGGTACGAGGGTGGGTGAGCGATAGACGGAGTCTAAATCAGCCTTCCCTTTTTTCCAATATGCCTTTGAAACAACACATTCCCAAATCTGTTACTAATTTAAACAGATTTTGTTCTTATTTTAAACGGTAGTCAGAAACTAGATCAATTAAGGCCATTTATGTAATTAATCTAAGATAAAAGGTAGATCACAGTGCATGAGAGAATATGTTTGACTTTATATTATTGCTCAAGGATAAACTGATAATCAATATTTTTTCAGTTGACATTTGTAGTAAAAAAATGAAGATTTTGATGATCTTCCAAACTTATATTTTTTAGTGTTTTGTGACTTTTATGATTCTTCATTTCTTGTAATTCAAATATGCAACTATTAACTTTTATCATTCACATTGACCAGTAGATACGTTGTTTTCAATTGTGGTTTACTTTACACCTGTTATAAATAAAAGTGGAAGCTATTGCTAATATAAAGTAAATATTAATTGACTGTGTACAAAGATGTATAATTACTTATAATTTTGTGCTTTTGATCCCAAAAAGAGTTTCAAAACAACACACAACATAGTTGCCTTTTTTTTTTCTTTTTCTTTTTTTCAAATCTTCTGCTATGGTTTATGTGTTTGAAGTTTGAACTTATCCAAATGCAGGAGCATTTAGTGGAGTTTGTGTTTCTCCGGGTGGTCGCTTTCCCCCATTTTCTAATGAGGGGAAACCTCCAAGAAAAGTAAGCAAGGGCTCCAAAGATTTGACTCTTTGCAGAGTGTTCCGCAAAAAGACATGCTGTGATGTGGCCCAAACGCATCCTGCTTTGCTATCCATTAGGAGACTGGCTACAACAGGTGAAGCGAGCCCAGAGTGTTTGCAACTGTGGGAGTTGTTGGAATGTTCTATCTGTGATCCACGTGTTGGTGTACAGCCTGGACCTCCTCTCATTTGCCCCCCTCTCTGTGATAGGTTGTATCAGGCTTGTTCTAATGCTTACTTCTCTATGGATGCGAAGACACAGGTTTGCAATCCTTTAAACATTCATGATTTTTATCCCAAAAAAAAAAAAAAAAAACATTCATGATTTGTAAAATATTAGTTCATTGTGAAAATCTATAACCGGAATATTTGCAACTGGAAAATATTATGCCATCTCATATGCTGAGTGCAACCAAGGAGATTGTCTTCCATGTAGTAATGCAATTAGGTCACGGTGATTATGTTTAATGATATACTTCTGGACTGAACATACCTTGGATGGTAGAGAGAATGCCTAAGTTACCATATAGTGGCCATTATCCAATAAGTTTCAAATGGAGGTGAGGTTGGACCAAGATAGTCAAAACACAAACTCTCTTGAAGTTTTCTTTTGTACTGGTGTCATATGTGAGGTACCTAAACTTTCATCATCAATGCTTGGCAAATATTTCCTGATTAGATGTTATGTGTCAGGTTGTAGCACCATGTGGAGTTGGCGACTTTGTTTGTGGTAAAGCCTCTGAATGGGTCTCAAATGGCACAGAACTTTGCCGTGCTGCAGGTTTTACTGTTAAGTCATTTCATGGTGTGGAAGAAACACCTTGCTACGGTGGGAAAGCTAGTCTAGATTCTGTTGCTGGTTCATGGAAGGCTTCACAATCTGGGGATTCAGAGAAAGGTGAGGGCTCGGGAGTTTTTCCTGGTTTTCTGCCATGGGTGAGGGAAATGCCATTTACAGAAAGAGTTTCTTGGGCAGTGNGCACAATCTGGGGATTCAGAGAAAGGTGAGGGCTCGGGAGTTTTTCCAGGTTTTCTGCCATGGGTGAGGGAAATGCCATTTACAGAAAGAGTTTCTTGGGCAGTGGGAGGAATGGTTCTGACAGCGGGACTTTTTTTTGCAAGGTTGGACCTCTTATGGGTATTTAATCTAATCGCATATCATGGTCATAATTGCTGAAATTATTGGAGCCACATGTTCTTTTTGACTGAAACTTAATTTTATTCATGTTTCATCTTCTCCACAAGTGTACTCGGTTCTGTTTATGGTTCAACCTTGCTTTTTCTTAATGTTATTTTATGATTTTTTTTTTCTTCTAGTATGGCTGGTTAAGCGTAATCACTAACACAATTTTATAGGAAGAAATCAGAAAATAAGATGTGTCTTGTCACTTAGTGTTGGGCTTAATATTCGGATCCTTTGTTTCTGTATAGATCTATGGCTGCATATTCTGTCACATAATTGTGTTACCTTTACTTGAGTATGCAGTAAAAGGAAGAGCCACAGTCAGCGCCAGAAGCAAGCAGCTATTCAACGCACAGCGAGGAAACTGGGAGGGAACATGAACTCAAAGGCTCCTTCTACTGAAGGAACTAGGAAGCGAATTGGAAGATGAAACCCTCATTTGTATGTGAACATAAATTTCTGGCATATTTACAGTTTAGAGACACAATTGTTATAATAATACCTGCTCTTGTTGCATTTTTTCTATCCCCTAGGTAAGCACTGCATTAAATCAAAGATGGTTTTGCTAGCTGATGGAGTCCTCTCCACTATGAATTTTGATAGTTCATGTACTGTAGTTGATTGGAGATGTTTCTGTTTCTGCAAAGACAAGAAAAATGACTATTGATGTAGGATGTTGATAGAAGACGGGTTGCTTACTCTAGTTCTATGAAGTTTTGGGTCAAAAAATGATGAACTCCCTCGTTACAGCACTTTTTGTTGTCATCAGGTGTAGCAAGCCTTAGTTTTCTTGCAGATCAATTTTCATTTTGGTTTTTTTTTTCTTTGTATGAAAGTAAGTATTGTTAACGAACCTTCCTGTACTTACCAACAGTTCTTAACCTTCTGGGATTATGTAGATAATCATGATAGAAGCAGCTTTCAGTTTCTAGGGGTGAAGCGGCTTTAAGTCTCAATCTCTTCAATGTCCTTGGAAAAACCATTGAAAGTTTGCTAAGAAAGACCTTGATAAATCATGTACGGTAGTGTTATTACTAAGATGATGTGTAACTAGGAAGCCCAAGATTAATTTGCCTCTTGTGTTCTCATAAAAAAAAAAATGGGGCTGTCCTGTGACTACTTGTAGGGTATAAAATTTGTTAATAATGAGCCTTTTCTCTTTAAGGATTTATGTTTATCGCCCATAGGTAAATGTTTGTGGTGTATTTAGCAAAATGCTGACAGGCCATGTTTTGTGATCTACCTACCCTATACATTGAACGCATTTAAAATGGATCCAATGTATGCAGATTTCAAGAATTATTTGTTTTTTTTTTGAATAAGGGGACCCACCAACCACTCACACTGGACAATTGCTGGCCAGGTAAGGGCAGTGGCATTTTTTTGGACAACACACACCCAAAGGCTATGCAAATTTCAATAGCACTTTTTCTACCACAATTGATGAACAAAATCCTTACTTCATGGGAGAAGGAAAAAGCAAAAAGTCCGTCGAGAAAATGAAGTGTTACGGCTGGACGGGTCACTGTTGAATTCCATAATGACATAAGTATTTTGTCATAAAATTTTTTAAGTAATTCTTTTGTTTTTATGGATTTGTTTCTTTTCCTCCAAGCTCAATCGAATATCATACATGCGCATACATAAATAAATGATCTAGATGCTAAACATTTGAACACTATAGTAAAATAGTAAGAAAAGTAAAATTACTGTTTTGCTTAAAAAAAATACTTGTAAAAAAATATCAAACGACAAAGTCATTAACTTGAAATAGTTCTGTTGCAACTTCTGATAAAACCAACGAATCTAATCAGTTTTGAAGGCATAAATCTTCTAGTCTCTGTCCTAACCTTCAAACTGACTGTTCTCATTTCTTTTCTTTTCGCTTTCCAAAGGTCTAATTAATGAGGTCGTTAACCTAGAGCGTGATATTGAAACGCCTCCTTGTTCTCTTGCAAGGCTGCTAATTTGGACATTGCTTATGAAGAAGTTGCTTCCAAAGTCACAACCACAATAGACTGCATGGATGGATAGTCAATGAACTCCATACGGGTATCACTATTGGGGGACTCATACTAAAGCAGCACTTCCAAACCTTAATGCTAAATACCGAAAACAGTAAGCAAACAAAGGATGTCCAAAGCAACCAAATCAAAACATTTCAGTTCCTGCATGGAAGGTAACTTGTGTTGCTGATTTTACAGATCCTGCTGAAATACTTTTTGTGCAAACTTCAAAGTCATGATACATCTGAACTGTTTTTGCTGCTCTTCCCTATTGACCGAAAGAAATCTTCACAGTAGTCATCCATTAGACTGATCCAATTTTAGGGGGCTGCTCAGATGGAGAATGGGCAAAAAGAAGTGAGATTCTTTGTAAGAAACATTAGAAGCTAATTTGCATTTAAAGACAATTAAAAAGAGAGAACATTTAAAAGCAATATGGATTTCAGAGATGCACAGTATACTTAAAAACTTGACTAAAAAGAAATATAAATATGTCAAAATACCTTCTTAAGAGGCAACTTAGAACTGCTCGGTTGCTTATTCTCAGCTGGTTTCAGTATCTCGAAGGAGCACACGAGGGATTCATCAACACTCAATAGAGCACCTGCATTATCAAATTCTCCACCATAGTTTGGGGCTGAAAATATTGTGACTAGCCTTCGTTTGGCAAAGAACTCATATCCATCCTCCACTACCTGCAGATAAGCTTCGGTCAAAATTTTGACACGTTGATCTAGTACAAGGCTCCTATCAGTAGAGGCTCAAACATTGTTTGGGTGCATTTTGCACATGAAAGGCTGCTGCAGTGGCACTTATAATGGATCCAATGTCGGTGTATTACCAAAGGAAATATTAAATAAAACTGTCATATTATTGGGATTTTGTCCATCATCTAAAAGCATACATATTATAAAGGTCATGATGATGCTTGAGAATTTTTCACAACTCATAGAATTGATAGTTCATAGTGTAGAATCCAACTATTAATGATCCTACAAAATGTTAAGTCAGAAAAAACAGGAAGCCGTTATATCTTGCCTCGTACATAAATATGGTGACACTAATGGTAAGTGGTAACTAAGGTTGCTCAAAAAGAATTTGGTTACCTGATGACCCCGGCAAATGAGGTCGAGGTCGTTTTTCTCCAAGAACTCGGCAACTGCATCAGGTCCAAAAGTACATGAAACACCTCGATCACTGTCTGACCAACCTTTAACACCGGGATCAGGATCAGACCAGAGCAGATCACATAGAAGACCATTATCTGGAATGTCAGTCGGCCTGTTTATTTCCTTTATTTGACCTAAGGTTTTCAACTCTGGAGAAAGTCCCCCGTGCATGCAAAGTATCTTGTCATCAATAAGTGCAGCAACAGGCAAACAATTAAAGCAGTCCGTAAAAATCTTCCAGAGCCGAACATTAAATCTTCTTTTGCATTCATCATAAAATCCATAAATGCGGTTGATTTTTGCATCTTCATGATTTCCTCTCAAAAGGAAAACTCTGTCAGGATACCTTATTTTGTAGGCCATTAGCAAACATATAGTTTCCAAACTTTGCTTGCCTCGATCAACATAATCCCCAAGAAAGAGGTAATTTGCAGCAGGAGGATAGCCACCGTATTCAAAAAGCCTCAATAGGTCTTGGTATTGTCCGTGTATATCACCTGCATGATGCTTCTAGTATCAGAGAGGCAAGGAGATATTGAAGGGCAATAGGGAAAATCACATTTGCTAGACAAGTATATGCATTCATTATAGCAACAGATTCCTCTTAAATTTGAGATAATTTTTTTTTTTTCGGAAGGTAAATACTTACTAATCCCAAAACAAAGATATAAAATAAAGCTCAAAACATGCATAAAAAGGCAGCCGAAGCATTACTCGAAGAGTTAGTTTCTATCCACACAATCTCTCACATGAGTGACTAAGAACATGATAGATAAACATGGGTCCTAATAGATACTAAAGATCCTAAATAATCTAGACCCAAACACAACCCGAGTGGTATTCGGGTCTTCAAGAAGAAAGTAGCAGAAAGAACTGCCAAATAACCCAACAATGGATGCAGAACCATAGCTCATGGTTTCCACAAGTACAAAGTATTGCACCTGTATCTTTCTTGGGCAGAAATCCTACCCTCATGTCTAAACTAATCTAAAGTCCAACAGAATTGACTAGTCTAGAACAATATCCTATGGCCGGCTTTTGCATATAAACCACTGTTGCAAGAAACCAAAGGTAATTGAAATATGACAACAGCTGGATCTACTAGATCCAACTGTCCAATATACCCCTTCTTCAAACTTCAGCAGCAAAAAAACCAAGCTTTTTGCAGAACAAGCTTTCTTCAGCCTTCAACAGCAACATATTTGAGCCTTACAGAATTATCCGTTAAAAGTAGCACAACAACACTACACGACAATAGCACTCTTGAGTGGCAACTAATTCTTGGGATACCAGTAGTTAAGTGAAGAAAAGGAATAAGAAAGAGATCTATTTTTTTTCAATAAAATTTTCAGGTTCTTAATGACTTTTGTAGTTCCAATGAATAGATTGCATCAAATCCTCAATAGACAGTGACAATCAACATTGTTCTTGGGGTCCTTTACAATCGGGTGTTTAGTATAACAAAGAAAGTAGCTCTCTGTGAAGCTTTATTTGTTATATAGAAATTTGTATGCCTATCTTTCATTTGCCCCCATTGGTAATAATAATGTGGTGAGTCACAATGTGAAGAACTATGGACAAAGCATGCATCATGTATTGGACAGATTTTTCCGAAGCAATATCTTTGAAGCCTCAATAAGATCCTTTGGCACTTTGAAGACTGAATTTTATCATTCTAGGTGCGCTCTACCAATTGCACGCCTGATCCATGATTTGGTTTGAAGTGGTTTGGTTCTCATCTTCCCTTTCTATTGAAATATAAATACTAAAGTTATACCTCCTATACTCGAATCTCGCCGTTACCCTGATTATTAAAAGATTTTCACATGTTAGGCCTAAAATCTAGCCTGCACGTGGGGGACATGTTGAAGAATAAATATTAAAGTTATACTTTCTCAAATAACCTCCTATACTCGAATCTCGTCATTACCCTGATTATTAAAAGATTTTCACATGTTAGGCCTAAAATCTAACTTGCACGTGGGGGATATGTTGAAGTATAAATATTAAAGTTATACTTACTCAAATAACTTAAGCTTTTCAAGTAGATAGTTTAACACTTTCCATGTTATCCATCTGTCCTCTTCCAACTCTTTTTCACACTTTCAAATCAACCCACTATCCCCAACATCACCCTTCACTAATTGATTGAGACCTAAGCGGATAAGCAATTGAGTATATTTTGCTTTTGAGGTGTGTTTTTTGGAGTGAGAGTAGCATTAGGAGAATCTTTAAGCCATCTTGAGTATATCCTTTTATGGGATGACCTTCATGAAAGAGAAAAAGAGGTGACTGATTTTAAGTAAGCTTGTTGATGGATCTAANCAGCATTAGGAGAATCTTTAAGCCATCTTGAGTATATCCTTTTATGGGATGAGCTTCATGAAAGAGAAAAAGAGGTGACTGATTTTAAGTAAGCTTGTTGATGGATCTAAGTTTGCCCTCTTTTGAGTACCTCTTCTCCATAGTTATCAAAATCGTACGATTCGCAATTCAATTTGTATGATTCGGTTCGATATAGGTACAAAACAATTCGTATCTTATATGAGAATCGTTTTAGAGTTGCAACGCACCTAAATCGTACGATTTGATTCATATCACATAAATAGCACAATTCGATCACTTTTTTTTAAAACCCAAATTTTTGGCAAAACGACATCGTTTTGTCTGCTAAACAATAAAACAACGTCGTTTTATTTGCAGAGGAACTCACACCCTAATAAAAACTCAACCTCTTTACTTGTTCTCTCTCTGACGTCGTCTAAAACTCGCCTTGCGTTGTCTAAAGCTAAAGGTCATGGCTAACGCTTTCGTATCATCGATTAATTTTTGCTTTCAATTCTTTCATGAATAATTTGTTAGGTTCTAATTTTTTATTTCAAAATGTTGGCATGTATATTTTCTCCCAATCAATTTTCTTATTTGTTCTTTTTCCATTCATGTTTGCAACCTAATCTATACTAAGTGTCACTATTTTGGTCCTTGAATGGTCATGGTTCTTTAATGAATTTCTTTTTTTAAATTGGTGAATTTGAAAATGGTTAAGCAAATGATGAAAATTTAACAAAAGATTAGCGTCTTTCCATTTAGATGATGTAATTATGTCAATTAATTATTTTTAGAATGCAATAATTTTCAATGTTCAATATTCAATATTTTTTCTATTTTAAATATGTAATAACTTTTTTTTTTTTTTTTCAAAGTTTGTTTTTGAATTTTATGATTCACGATTTGAAACGATTCACAATTCTCAAANATTTTTTTTTTCAAATTTTGTTTTTGAATTTTATGATTCACGATTTGAAACGATTCACAATTCTCAAATTTAGGATTCCGTTTCATGATATGAATCGCGATTTGATAACTATGGTTGTCAGTGCACCTTAAAGAAAAACCATAGTTACTCCCTCTAGTCGAATAAAATTTCAACCTCCAAAACATAAGTGAAACCAGACATCGCATCCCATAGTTACTCCCTCTAGTCGAATAAAATGTCAACCTCCAAAACATAAGTGAAACCAGACATCGCATATACAATATTTTTAAGTGTAATTATGTGTCTTAAAGTAAAAGGTAAAAATCACTAGGCGTAGTTGTTAGAGTCAGTTTAAAAAATGTATCTGCAAACCCTGTTGTTATTTGCCAACAACCATAATACCTAATAGAGGCTCAAATGCTATACTCTATCCAATGCAATAATCGAATCCCATGACCATAATAATTAGAAAAGTATTATTTTTTAGATAACTCCCGGCTAATTCCTTCAAACTAAAAACAATTCAAACAATAAAATTTCTCCTCCATTAATCAATTGGTCGTTTTTCCCTTCTAAAAAAAATGTGATCTCACAAAAAATATAAAGCAAAGTTGAACAGTCATATCAAGGTAACCCAAAAAGCATAGTAGGTCTACGGATAATAACAACTTCATTTGGACATTTGGTGGCATATCACCTTAACTATCACCTGAAGTTCCATAATATGTGCATTTCAATGGCATCATTTTACCAATTGTAGCTAAACTATCACAATTCTCAAGTCTTCCAACTAAATCAATTACTGGTCTCTCTCTTTGTCCTTCNCTGAAGTTCCATAATATGTGCATTTCAATGGCATCATTTTACCAATTGTAGCTAAACCATCACAATTCTCAAGTCTTCCAACTAAATCAATTACTGGTCTCTCTCTTTGTCCTTCAACTAGGTAGGTTCACATTTTAAATAAAACAAAAAACCACAAGTTAACACATTTCAAATAGATTTATAACATATTTCTCAATTGTCTATGACAGTGTATCACATTCAAATGGAGAAAATTGAGATGTTTTCTCTATTGTTTACTGAGCAAGTCGCTCTTGTTTTCCCATTTTAACATCCCACAGGTTTAGTGAAATTTATGATCAAAATAATATCAACAAACAGAACTAACAATCAAATCTGCAAAGCATAACGCAAACAATGTCAATCCCCTTCCCCAGTCCTGAACCAGTTAATACCTCCATTAACTCCTTGAATGTAACATCCACACACTTCTCAAAGGATATCATGTAACGAGACATGTTCCACTGTCACATAAGCCAAAAGCAAATACAGACCAAACGATCAATTGACCCATTCAACCATCATCCTAGTTCAAGAAACATCACATATCCCGTAGCCCGAACAAGAAAACCCAACTTTTATCACCCAAATCTATTTTAGATAATACTACTCTGTATAATTGAGTATAATCAACCTCTAATTTCACTATTACAAACCACATAAAGGGTGTGATTCTCACAATCCCCGGATTGGAGAATTACAGAAATTCTTAAGCCAGTAATAACTACTGTAATATTATGCAACTAGTGACGAAAATTATGTCTGTACGCAGTCCGTTCCCTCCAGTGCCCTTGATTTATAAGCACTCTCGGAAATTGCTCTAGGCATACATAAATGGTATACATACATACATACAAAGAGAGAAGGAAAACTAACCACAGATCCTGATGGGTGCATGGATCTGAAGAAGATTGGGTTGAGAGAGGAAGATTTGGCGAGCGTTGACGCATAGCTGACGGATCTCACCCTCCGATAGCTGTACCTGTTTTCCACCTCTACCCTCCAGCAGCCTCCTTATTATGTCATCCAATACACCCTTATCCATCATCCCTTCCATTGTCATCATATTCATTTCCCTTGATTATCCTCCGATCAAAGCCCAAGAACTAGGAGAAACAAGAAAGATAATATATCTATATTATCTCTAAATAGAAGGTTAGTAAGATGGGGGAGAAAGAGCAAGGTAAAGAAGTTATTATTAGGATTATATATGGATGGGGTTGAAGATGATGAAGAGAAGGCTTTTTTGAGAAGATATATCTGGGTATATCGTCGCCACCACGATGCGTGGTCTGCTCGTCTCCTCTCTCTTAAGTTTTGTGGGGTGCTTTCTCTCTCTAAAAGAACTCTCCTATCTTTCATGCCAACTGCCAGGAAGATTCAATATGGTTGAAACCTTCAAAAAGGGCAAATTGGGATTGGATTGTTGACTACATGGCGCGGGGGCGCACGATAGTCTCTCTCAGAGGAAAAATTACTAAGTAATTGTAATATCAAGTAAGTATTTTAATCTGATATAATAATAATATGCAAACAAATAAAAAATTAAATTATATAAAGGGGCTATTTGATAACACCATTTAAAACTTAAAATTGAATACTTTAAGTATTTAATAAATTAATCTCGTTTAAAAACATAAAACTCATACTACTTAATATTTTAAACATTTCTTAAAAATAGATTAAAANCAAGTAATTGTAATATCAAGTAAGTATTTTAATCTGATATAATAATAATATGCAAACAAATAAAAAATTAAATTATATATAAGGGGCTATTTGATAACACCATTTAAAACTTAAAATTGAATACTTTAAGTATTTAATAAATTAATCTCGTTTGAAAACATAAAACTCATACTACTTAATATTTTAAACATTTCTTAAAAATAGATTAAAATTTTAAATAACAAGTCACCTACTTATCAATATTTACTGAAAATGTTAATCATTAAAATTTTTATCAATTTCTCATAATTGACAAACATACCCTCATCACCATTGTGTCATTGCCGCCACCACCACCACCACCATTGTATTACCACCGTCGCTGCCGCCACTACCATTACCACTATCACTATCACCACCACCATTGTGTCACTGTCATCACCACCACCATTGTCGCCACCAACATCATTGTCGCAGCCACCCATTACCACTATTGTGTTGTCACCACCACTATCATTATGTCACAGCCACTACCGTCATTATGCCACCGTCACCACGACCACCATTATCACCACACCACTATTATTGTGTCGCCGCTATCACCACCACCACAATGTTGTCGCCACAGCCACCACCACCACCATTACTACCATTGTCGCCACCACTNGGTGTTGTCACCACCACTATCATTATGTCACAGCCACTACCGTCATTATGCCACCGTCACCACGACCACTATTATCACCACACCATTATTATTGTGTCGCCGCTATCACCACCACCACAATGTTGTCGCCACAGCCACCACCACCACCATTACTACCATTGTCGCCACCACTACCACCACCATCGTGATGGTGGTGATAAGAATAAGGCAACTGCAGAGAGATGATTAAAGAGAATGATAAAATTAGAATAATAATAATTTTCAAACTTCATCTCCTTATATTTGTCAAATAGTTTGATTAAATTCAATACTTAAATTTCAGTTGATACCAAATNAAGGCAACTGCAGAGAGATGATTAAAGAGAATGACAAAATTAGAATAATAATAATTTTCAAACTTCATCTCTTTATATTTGTCAAATAGTTTGATTAAATTCAATACTTAAATTTCAGTTGATACCAAATAGTCTGCGAATTAAAAAATTCAGTATTCATCACTTAAAATTCAGCATTCAGTTTTTAATTTTATCAAACACCACCTAAGTCAATAACTTCTTATCCATGTAAGCCAATAACTACTCACTTTTCTTCCATGGAAGCCAATAATTACCTTAGTGGATTTCACTTTGCCCATTTTAAATGTTTTTATTAGTTGATGATATCATGTCATCAATTTGATATAGTATCAACATTGCGTTGAATATTTTCTTCCTCGAGAGGCAACGTAGCGAGGGGATGGGCGATTAAAAAGTCAAGAGTGCCATGTTACCACTTGTAGTATTGTCCAGTGAGTGTGGTTACGATGCCAAATAAAGCAAACTCAAGTTGAAGTGTGCATAAATTAATCTGGACACCCTTAACCGTTAAATTTTAAAAAAATAAAATAAAGCAAAAACACAAAATGGATTATATGTGTGCCCATTACGTATACTAGTAACTTTGAGTGAATAGCAATTGTAAGAGGAAAAAACCTCTTATCTTTGATTCGCACTTTTTTAGTGATCGGATTAATATTATACACTCAAGTATAAGTGGTTGAATTGTAGTTTTCTCAATTTTGAGTCCAAGTATCGATCCCATGAAGAGTTTTAACAATTTGGAAACGAAATAAAATAGTAAAGTTGCTAATTCGAATAAGAAAACATATGATAGCTTGTGATGTGAGCTTAAATTGATAACGAGTTTACATAAACAGTAATGTGCAGATAGAGTAAAACAATAATAAAAAATATCTTTCAGTTAAAGGATCTCATATGTGTTATATTGGTTAAATGCTGATAATGCTACCTTACAACAATCAACTTTTATTTTACTGGCAAGTTAATTGGTAGGTCTGATTTATATAAATTATCACACAACAACTTCTTAGGTTAGCTGGCGATATCCATGACAACTGATTTATCCAAGCAAACCAGAATGACAAGTCATTCATGAGGAATACTTGAATTATTCATTTGTTTTCATAATAGTAGGTACATATATAATAAACCATAACACAACCATTTCTTAGGTCAACCGGTGGTAGTAGTCATAACATAGCAACTTCTTAGGTCAGCTGGTTATAGATTTGTCAATTGACTAATTCAAGCAAATTAGAAGGAGAAATCATTCATGAGGAATACTTGAATTATTCATTTGACTATATATGTGATATATATATACCAGTTAAACATCATCAACGTTCCGGTGGAGGACTAGCCATACCGATAGGAATGTTGTAGTTGTTAGACTGATAATATTATCCTTTATACCAGTTAAACGATCTAAGTAATCCAGAAGGACGAGCCATTCATAAGGATCACTTAGGTTATTCATTTGATAGTTATATTTATATATTAGTTAAACCCTAATAACCCAGAAGGATCATTTAGGTTTTGTACCATGCATCAATTAACTTCCTTAGCGTTTTGGTGGAGGACTAGTCATACCGATAGGAACGTGGTTGTTTTACCGACAGGTTGATGATGCATGATGACATACTTCCAGGCACAACACCAAAAGTACATACATCACTGTATATCATGCATGAAACATGTAATACATAGATATATAAATATATAAAACANCAGCGTTTTGGTGGAGGACTAGTCATACCGATAGGAACGTGGTTGTTTTACTGACAGGTTGATGATGCATGGTGACATACTTCCAGGCACAGCACCAAAAGTACATACATCACTGTATATCATGCATGAAACATGTAATACATAGATATATAAATATATAAAACATCAGCATTTTCAGAATTTAACCAATATTATACATATGTTTACCTCTCACTGGAGGATATATGGAACTACTCACGCTCCATTGCTACAAACAAGCAAGGAGTGCAAACAGTTTTCATTATAACTAAAATTNGTTTACCTCTCACTGGAGGATATATGGAACTACTCACGCTCCATTGCTACAAACAAGCAAGGAGTGCAAACAGTTTTCATTATAACTAAAATTAAAAAATAGAATCTAAAATATTTTTCACAAGGAACAACTGAAACACAATCACCTTTATTATTAGTTAAGACAAAAAGGTAACGGTAGTTCAACTATTCGAATAGAAAGATACAACAGAAATGTAAAAGTACAAAGTTTAGACTGAAGTGCATCATAGACCAAATCGTTTTTGCAACTTCTCGTTTTCTCTTTCTCTTTTCTTTTTCTCTTTTCTTTTCTCTCTTGGTTTTGGCCTGCTAAAGTCTGAAGAGAGGGATGGCTATTTATAGCCATTTGAAGAAGCAAGAGGTGGACAACATGAAGATAGGCATCAAGGTGACCGTCCAGACGGTGGAGCTTTGCTGGAAATGCAAGTTGCATTATGCTGACTCTTCATGTGTGGTAATTACACTTGAGCCTTCATAGTTTGAACCTTCTATGCTTTGTTCCTTGTATTCTTTGATAATTTTGCATTAAACCCCTGAAATTTGGACATAAAATATTAAAAACCCTAATTACCGCACAAACCCTAATTGATCATAAGTTCTTGTTTTTAGTTATTTTATCACACTAATTCGATTTTATTATTGTTTTAATTTATATATTAATTAGGGTTAATCACACTCCCCAACTTAAACTTTACTTGTCCCTGGTAAATAAATAGGAAAAAACTGTTAACAAAATATAATACAAATAGAGGTAAAATCATTTTCATAGATTTTTGTACGATTGCATTTAACATATGTAATAAGCCTTTAAACCCCTAGGTGATTCCTAGTGGACGAATTTTGTCTCGTGAAGGTTTCTAGTGAAGCTACCTACAAACTTCAGTAATTAGGAATTCATGACTCATATTTTTCACAAGTAAAATTAAATTAATATTCTATCTGTCTTGTGAAGATATTTTCTTCTCTGATCACTATANGCATATGTAATAAGCCTTTAAACCTCTAGGTGATTCCTAGTGGACGAATTTTGCCTCGTGAAGGTTTCCAGTGAAGCTACCTACAAACTTCAGTAATTAGGAATTCATGACTCATATTTTTCACAAGTAAAATTAAATTAATATTCTATCTGTCTTGTGAAGATATTTTCTTCTCTGATCACTACAAGAGTAACACACATTAGTTGTAAATTATCTATATATTTTCATAAAAACTTGTGTGTGTGTGTGTGTGTGTGTGTAATGATTTCTTTATTTTCAAAAATCACTTGAGAAACATTACCCTCTTCCTGGTAGTTTTGATGTCAATCCTTTCCTAAAATACACTCAGCAAAAAGAACACACT